CATTGTGAGAACGAGACAATAGCTTCAGCATACTGAATCAAGCTTGGTCTCAGCTTCGATCGCACAATCTCGAGGATGTCGTCGAGGTCGGACATTGCTGGAACCCAGATCTCTGTGAAGCGGTTTCGAAGGGCTGGCGAGAGCTCCTTCTTACCGTAGTCTCCACCTGGGTTCATAGTAGCAAGAAACTGGAACCCATCGCTAGCTGTAATCATGGAGTCCACCGGACCTTTCTCTGCCAGCAGAAGGGAACGCGAAGGCTCGAGAACGCTGTTCAGGCGCTCAAGCACTGAGTCATCAGCTAGCGAGATCTCGTCCAGAAGAAAATAGTGGCCTTGCTTCATTGCGTACACCAAGCTACCATCCGCCCATTCAAACAAGGCACTTGCCTTAGCTCGACTGAATTGTATAGATTGGCGAAGCTCATCAGTGATTGCACTGGGTGAGTCATTAGTGATGTTGTCGTAAAGCGTCATAAGCTCTTCGAAACCCAGCGAGCCAGGGTCACCCTGAAGGCGTTCGCCCAGAGTCTCATGGAGTGCTTCAAGCACTTGCTCTCTTACTGATTCCTCAATAGCGGCCCGGTTTCTGATCGGTCGTTGCGCACCAATCAAGTCTCCAGTTTCAGTGTTCTGGTGAGCATTGACGATGTGGAGTCGGTTGTTGAATTGCTCTGCGAGTAATTGGCAGACAGTCGTTTTTCCGCAACCAGTCTCTCCGATAAGTAGAACCGGTTCATTGTTTCGGATAGCATGTGCAACAAGAACCGATAAGCGACGCATGGCGCGGGTCCAAACGATATCAGTGGTGACCATAGCCATACCATTGCCAAGCCCTTCGATGTTCGATAGGCTGTCAGATCTGAACAGTCGCTCTTCGTCTATCGTCACCCTCGGGCCCTTTTCGCTCATCACGGTCTCTAGAATCTTCTTGACGGCGACTCGCTCATCCTCTTTGCGCACGCGTTCAGCAAGAAGCATGTAACCGTTGTTGGCTAGGTCTTGGATTGTGTCTGCTTTGCGCTGAGCCCATCTGAATAGGTCTCGTAGTGTCGCAAAACTCTTCTGCTCAAAGATACGGTTCTCCTGTCGAAGTGTGGAAAGCTCCCGATATACCTTGACAATCCGCTTGCACCATGTTTCCGGAATCATGGTACGGCGATGTAGAATCTCCGTCAACTCTTCTACCGGTATGTCGTCGAAGTGTAGCTCCAGGAAACGATTACGGAAAGCTCTTGAAAGCACCTTACGTCCTCCGTAGAGACCAGCCGGGTTCTGTGTGGCGAAGAGCATGAAGTCTTCGTGTGGCCGGACGACCTCTTGTGTTTCTGGAATGAGTAGCTCTCGGTTGTCATCGAGCAGGCGATTCAAAGCTTCGAGAACATCTGTAGGCGCCAGATTGAGTTCGTCCAAAACGATCCAGTGGCCCTCACGTAGAGCTCGTACTAATATACCCTCTTGGAATGTGAGCTTTCCGTCAAGTCCGGAGATGTACGACCCTAGGTACTCTTGCAAGTCGGTGTGCTCATGGTTGTTGATGCGAACGAACTTGTTCCCTGATCGCTTGGCTAGGTACTCAATCATACTTGTCTTACCGGATGAGGTAGGGCCTTGGATCAACACTGGGTACTTTCGTGTGGAAGCAGCTCGAATGAGGTTGTCCATGTTGCGCTGAACAAAGGGGGTGATGATGTAGTGCGATTGCTCCTCCACATCATGCACACCCTGTCGGAGCCAGTAATGGCCCTGTCTGACGTAGCCTCGACCATCTGATGGTTGCTGAAGTGGCTTTCCGAGCTCAGCCTTTACGGAAGTCTTTTGCGGGAAAAGATGCTTGGTAATAAGCGGAGCGATCAGGTCTTCTGAAGCCTTGCCTAGGAAAGTCAAGAAACTCATGTGAAACCCTTCATACAGAGCCCGACGGAGAGTACAGAGCGGCGCAATATCCCTGGCGTATGACAACGTCCGTGTCAAAGTTCGCAGGCTGAAGTGGGCTTTTTGATCTGCACCATCGACGAGCATGTTCGCTTTCGCAAGTTTTTGAATCTCAAGGTACAGAGTAGTGACATCGCGTGCTATGCGCACGATTGCTGGATCTGTTCCGTCTCCGCCGAGATATTTCTCCACGATGTTGCGCAAGCTCTTTTCGTCACCGTCTGGACTCTCGACGTATAGCTCAGTGAATCGCGATCGGATGCCCGGTGGGAGGTCCTTCTTGCCTACATCGGTGGCCGGATTCATCGCAGCGAACACTCTGAAATTGGGATGTGCGACCACACGTTCGACATTGCCAGTCTCGGTCAGGAGTATCGATGGGTTCCCATCTGGGCCGCCGCCCAAAAGATCAGTAAGCGCCTCTAGTGTGTCCGAAGACGCCAAGTTGATCTCATCAAGCAATACCCAATCGCCATTCCTAACTGCCTTGACGATATTGCCTTCCAGGAAAGAAAAGGCAAACGCTTCCGAGCCACTAGCAAGCTGCGCCTCCAAGTCGTGCAGATCAGCTGCAAATTTCTCCCATCTTGCTGTCGGGAAGTTGGCAGGTAGCGAGTCCATCTTTCGCTTCTTTTTAGGCTGACCACCATCAGGATCCGGAGATGACGTTTGCGATTCGTGTGATTTCCTGGCTGCATCAACCATCTTCAGAGCCTCGCGCCACAGTGAACAAACGCGCTTCCAATCGCCCTTCGCAACACGTTTTCCGAGCATTTCGATGAATCGCAAGTTCTTCTTTCGTGAGAAGGTGGTATCGAAGATTTCATCAAATTCGTCCTTGAGTGGAATGACAAGGCTGCGTACATTGACAGGCTTGAAGCCACCCAGCAGATCGCCGCTCTCGCTTTGTTGTGACAAGTTGAAGGCTACGAGCTTGCGACCAAGCTGCTCAGCCAGATACTGGATGCAGGTTGTCTTTCCAGTGCCCGTCTCACCCACTAAAAGAAGCGGTTCTTGACGATCGACTGCTACGGCCACCTTCTCAAGCAGGCGTAGGGTGTAGTCATTGGTTGAAAATGGCCGTGCTGAACCCGATTTCTTAGAAGACTTATGCTTAGACAATCGCGCTCGTCCAATCTGAATAGTGCCGGATGATGTAGTCTTGGAAGGCACCTGAAGCTTGACTTCGCGGTTCCTTAACAAGTGGTCTCTGCGCTGAGGGTCGATGTGTAACTCTTCTGCCACACAGGCCATGACCTTCGAACGCGCGCCTTCGGTACGCAGACTTCCCGCAAAGCAATCGAATGCCTCCATGAATATGTCGTCCTTTTGCGCGTTGCTGAATGATGCAGCCTGTCCAAGAAGTACCGCGATCCGGTCGCACCACTTGAGTAAGTCTCGTGGTGTCATGGCTCGAAGTGATGTACCATTCTCGGATGAGAATTTGGGATCTGAGTACAGGTCCAATAGCCGTGCATAGACCTCCATGATGCTGGAAAGATGCTTCTGCAACGCAGGATACTTTGCGTGTATCACCTGACGGAACTCCTCTAGATGAGGCATCTGCACTGTGACAGATTTCCAGAATCGATGGCCAATCATGTTCTGACGGGGTATGATCTCCTGGCCTCTTGGGTTAAGGGTGCTTCGCATAGTGGCGATGATGCGGAACCCACGCGCTGCTCGTATGGTCTCTCCTCTGCTGGGTATGAGTAGTTCACCGCGTTCTATGAGGGGTAGCAGCGTGCTGATAACCTCGTTTGGCGCCCGATCGAGATCCTCGATGAAGATCCACCGGCCTTCCCGAACAGCGGTAGTGAGTACTCCTGCGCGCCAGCTAAAGGTTCCCGGCTTAGCTCCGGTAGTGTACATTCCAATCAGTAGCTTTGCGTCACTTTGTTCGTTCAAATGAAGGGTAACCATTCCGTCGAGCTTGTTGAGCTGCCATGCGAGATGACGCGTAAGAAGAGTCTTGCCCGAGCCCGCGAGGCCCGTGAGTAGGATAGGGCTGGACCCAAGAAGTCCATGAGCGATCTTCTTTAGGTTCTCCTCTGTGGTGGCTGTCGAGACGAGCTGGGCAGGCCTCTCTTGGGATGGGCTTCCGTCCAACCGAGGCAGTAGAACACCATTGACGTTGACTGTATACGGCGATAGGTCCTGATATAAAGCGTTCGCGTACGTGTCTATCCCGGAAATCTCCTGGCCAATCTTGCTCTGTAGATGTTTCCACCTCTTCTCTTCCCAAAGCGACAAAAAGCGGTAGTCGATGTGCTGACCTTCCCATGGCCCCTCGATCTCCTCCTCTCCAAGGAATCGCTTGATCATTTCTTGGGTCGCAAAATCCGCCGTATGCGCGTATAAACAAAGCGTCCGTATGGCCAGGTACCGTACAACGCGACTCGTGTGCTGAGACAGGCGCTCCAAAGCAAGCGGTCGTACATAGTTAGTGAAGTTCTTGCAGTCGTAACTGACGAGTCGGAATGTTCCAAGAAGAACTTCGACAAGATCAACATCACTGGTAGCGCTCATGATTTCGATCGATGATATCGATCCGATGATTGGAGAATCAGATGTATGGGCCAGAAATCGTTCCACGTGCTCCGCGAGGTGAGGCGCAAGTGGTAGTAATCGCCCAAAGGCCGCCACTTTCGCGTCGGTCTTTGAGCCAGACTGTACCCACCGCGCGCATAGCTCTGTGAGGAGACTTCCATGCTGAACAAGAATGTCGTCTGTGGATTCGGGCTTCAAGGCTTCCGTGGCAAGCGTGTTGATGTCGACCATTTTACCGGACTTGCGGGTATTGATTCGTTCCATTTCTGCAAGGGTGGGGTTGTGATAGGACTTCGGGGCGCCTCCCCATAGTTTCGACGCTTCAGTATGTCCGGGAGGTGGTGTTGTGGCGGTGATGTCTGAAGGCCTCGAAGTTCTCTAACTTTTTTGCGGGTCTGGGAACGCGCCAAGACGCCAACCCAATTAGTCGTAATCCGCTCCGCAAAATCTCATGATGGCAGGCACGCCCGCAACGTACAATCATCACCATCGATTCACGCCTTCCCCTCCAGCACAATGGCAGCACCGGCATCCCGCGCGCTCAGGCGCTGTATCTGCACCGCGAAGCAGTCCGCATACGTACGACCGACCGTTGGAGCCACACAGCAGAGGATACAGCGGAGATGGCAGTCAGATGCGGCAGCTCCCACAAATCCAAAGATTGCGACGATCGTGGATCAGATTAGTCAATTGACTCTGTTGGAGACTGCAGACTTGGTATCGACGTTAAAGGTACGGTGACATGCTACGGGGGTGGGACGGCGACCATCGGAAGCCTGTAGTGGCACGCATACAATATGTAGAGCATGCCCGTCTTCACACCTGCATTGTGTTTAAGGGAGACAGGCCTGGCTTTAAACCGTTTCGCCACCGATGATAGATGCAGCGACGTTCAGGTTGTCCCACTAACACTTCGCCAGACTCGTCTGAACATACCCGACATGCCTATGGGAGGATTTGTCGCTGGTCCCGGAGGAGGTGCAGGTCCCGCGGCCGCAGCCCCCGTCGAGGAAGAAGAGGCCGCGCCCGCCGCTCAAGAGAAGACACTTTTCAACCTCAAGCTCGAGAAATTCGACGCCGGCGCGAAACCCAAGGTGATCAAGGAGATCAAGGCCATGTTAGGCTTGAGTTTGGTGGACAGCAAGAAGTTCGTTGAGGGAGCACCGAAGATGATGAAGGAGGGTGTGCCAAAGGAGGAGGCGGAGAAGATTGTCGAGACGCTCAAGGCGCTGGGTGCTACAGTTGTCATGGAGTAGGGGCATGCTATAAGCGGCGAAGAGCAGGATCTGGGAGAGAAGGACGAATACTGTATCATAGCATTACGTTTGGGCGTGTACAGATATGTTTGGAATGACCATGGATGTATACAGTTTACTCAGAATTCCAACAACAATGTGGGCGTCATGAGACAAGCCCGTGGTATCTCTGCCCCAACGCCTAGGCCATGCCGTGGCAATGTCTGTCGCTCCCAATCAACGCCGTAAATGCAGATCAGCTACCGCCTGCCCACCATGCCAGGAACCATTTCCGACTGACACGGTCTTGGAACTTTGGCTACCCTCATCTTCGCTTGCCTGTTCCTCGTTCGCAGCAGCTCTGGCCGCTTCCCATGCCTCAATTTTCTCTCGGTCTTTGTCAGGATTCTATCCGAACTCAATAACCTTCCTCCTCTCCTCGGCATCTTCCCTCGCGGTAACGTAGTCGTCCTCGTTGATGTCGCTGGCCTCATCCCATAGCTTCTCCAGCTCCTCGTAGCCGTCTCCTGGCACCGCCCAGATACTCTCCCGCAACCTCTTGTGTCTCTCCCTGTCCTCCTCAATCCTCTGTTCAATCTGACGTTTGTCCATTCTTTGCCCTCCATTCCGACCGGCAGAAGCCGGAAAGCTGTCTTTGGGGTCGGAGGTATCTGTCGCCATGAAGGGATGCGCGACTTCTCTCGACTTCAGTACGGCCTCGAGTTCTTGGACAGTCTCCTTCATGAGGATGGACAGGTTCTCAAGCGTCTTGAGGACTTTGCGAACGACGCGGATGTTGGCGCCTTCTTCGCCTACGACGCATTCTACAACAGCCAGTATGTCTCTCTGCAACATGCGGACGTAGCCCATTGCGCTCGCATCGCCCGAGTTGTTGTCCCTGACGGCGTATTCGCAGAGGCATTCGATGAAGAACATGATGTTCGCGCGGGTGTTCATGTTGGTGCGTTCGAGTTGCTCGAGGATGCAGGAGTGGAGGTCTTCGTCCATTTCACGGTTCTTCAACGCGTAGAGAGCGGCCTTTTGGAGCGACGTGTGGGATGCGCTGAGGTGGGAGAGCAGCGTCGTGAAGCGTTGACGGACCTCGAACGGGTCGGCCATGGTGGAGCTCGGGCTTGCGCACGTCTTTGGCTACTATGGGCCCGGCGGTAGTCTTGGTGGTCTGGACGGCAAGGTCGTGTGGAGCGTCAGGCGGAGAGCTTGGGGAGGTGCGCGCATATCGTCGGCCATGGCCATAGCTCAAGATTTCTCCAAGCCAACCTTGGAACGTGGGGAAGGCGCCGATCTCGCGCTCCCGAAACGCAGCAGCCCTCGTCCTTCGCGTTTGCCCAACAGTGCCCACCAAGACGCCCACGGCACTCATCCACCATGGCGACCACACAAGAAGCCAAGCCTCTCACGCTGACTGTCCTCGGCTCTGGCACGTCGTCTGGCCCACCCCCCAACCACAGCCATCGCTAACAAGCCCAGGAACCATGGGCATCGCGATAATGGGCGGCGTCATGGCCTCGCTCGCCTCTGCCAGGACGAGAGCCTCGCTCGATCCCGCCTCTGCCTCTGCCTCTAAAGACGTGCCTAACCTCTCCAACTTCATCGCCTGCGACCAATGGGCCCCCGCCGAACAAAACGTCCGCAAAGCCCTCGGCCACTACAACTTCCCCCTGCAGACGCTCACCAACCAGAACCTCAAGGGCGTGCAGGAAGCTGACATCGTACTGCTGAGCTGCAAGCCACATGGCTTCAAGACGATTCTGGGCGAGGAGGGCGTTGGGGAGGCGCTGAAGGGGAAGGTGCTGGTCAGCATCCTGGCAGGCGTGACGCGGGAGCAGATTGAAGCTTTCCTGTATCCCCATGGGCCGGCGAAGACAGAAAACGCTTGTCGCGTGGTGAGGGTCATGCCCAACACTGCGTCTTTCGTAGGAGAGTCCATGTCTGTGATCCAGACTTCGGACCCACCCCTCAGTGAGGCGCAGTACAAGCTCGTTGAGTTCGTCTTCAGCTCCATCGGTCGCGTTACGAACCTCCCTCCTGCGAACATGGATGCCGCGACCGCGCTGTGTGGCTCGGGTCCAGCTTTTTTCGCACTGATACTGGAGGCGGCGGCCGATGGTGCGGTTGCCATGGGCCTACCAAGAGCAGAGGCACAGATGATGGCTGCGCAGACCATGAGGGGAACCACTGGGCTCGTGCTAAACGGCGAGCATCCAGCGGTGCTGAAGGACAAAGTCTCAACGCCTGGTGGTTGCACCATCGGTGGGCTCATGTCTCTCGAGGAAGATGGCGTCAGGGGCGCCGTCGCAAAGGCAATTAGGGAAGCGACTGTCGTCGCATCGAGATTGGGTGGTGAGCAGAAGGAGTTTGTAAACCACAGGCGGTAAATATGTCGAAGCTTCAAACCCTGTGACGGCTTCGTCCCAACATCCCAGATTTCACAGAATAAACGATACCACAATTCCACAACGTATCCATCTCCGGACAAGAATTCTTAATTATCGTACCTAAGCCTACGCTGATTACTGCGTATACAGCATACATGTTCGTCCATATCTTCTGACTCATGTCTCAAAGGGTATAATACAGATAAGTAGAGAAAGGACCTCAGGTCTCCCCCAGCAGTTCCCCCAGATTGAGCATGTCACTGTCTCGTAGCCATATCGTGCCTTGTCATAGCCCAAAAGACCCGTCTGACAACCGGTGCGCATATGGCCAAAAGAGCCATCTTACCGCCTTTCCCGCTCCCGCTCCATCATCTCGCGCTCGACATCGCCTTCAGTCCTCACACCACCACGTCTAGCCTTGGCGTTCTTACGCAGTCCCGCTGTAAAGAGGCTGGCAATGTTGTCGTCACCCGTCGCACCAGACTTCCTGCGCTTGTCACGATGCGCGGCGGGGCCTGTGGGAGGCTTGGCATCAGCTTTGGGGCCTGTGGGTACCGGAGCCTCGTCGTCAAAGTCGTCTCTGCTACGCTTACTCGAGAGCGTAGGGCGGGATGAAGGAGAGATGCGTGATTGAAGGGACTTGCTGGAGCTGGGTGGCTTCTCTACGCGTTCGCGACTATCTCGCTCTCGGGCGTTGCGCTCTCGCTCAGCGGCATAATGGTCTTGGAACGTTTCTTTGTCTTTGGATGAAGGGCCGGTTGGTATAGTCGATGTAGAAGTGGCGCTGGTTTTACGACGGTGATCCCTAGCTTCGCCGCTTCGGTCTTTGTTTCGATCAGCAGCCGGACCCTTGGGTGGCTGGAAAGCTCGTGGGCCGGTAGGAGGTTGGGCCGGTGGAGGCATGACCGCGTTCTTTGAGCGACCCTTGATGCTGAAGCCATTCGCCGAGGGCCCGGTTGGTGCGTTCAAGGGCGGAGACATAGCGCGTTTCTTCATCATCTGACCGACGACATCCTCTTCCCTCTCCAATTGAGATGGCTTGTCTTTGCGCTCATGATCATCGTACTCGCGTCGCTCGCGATCGCGATCTTTGCGACTACGGCGTGAAGAGCGGTGATTGTCGTCCCCATAATCACGCTCATCGTCTTCACTTTCACGATCGCGACGCCGCCTACGGTCCTTGTCCTTATCCTTGTCGCGGGAGCGATCCTTCTCGCGGTCGTAATCATAGTTGCGGTCTCGCTCTCGCTCTTTACGATCCTTGCGGTCTCGTTCACGTTCCTTGTCGCGTGAGCGGTCGCGCCCGCTCCTGTGCTTGCGTCGTGAACTGCCATCAGAATCCTTTTCGCCATTGCCGTACGCTTCTTCGTCTTCATATTTGTCTCCCTCACGAGGTGATCGGGAGCGATGGCGACGACGATGCTCCTTGCTCCGGTCGCGGTGGGACCGCGATGAACGGTGCTTGTCCTTGTCACGACGGCTGCTACGATACTTGGAGTCTACCGATGCAGTTCGTGTACGGTCACCCCGGCTGCCCTTCTCGTCGCGGTAACGATCATCATACTCCGGGTCACGGTCATCATAGCGTGACGATCGATGGTGCTTGCGGTCTTTGCGATCCTCGTATTCGTTGTTCAATGGCGAAACGGATCTACCGCGGTCATCGCGACGAGAATGACGATCTGCAGAACGCGATCGCTCACGTTGCTCACTTCTGTCATCACCCTTCGTTCGTGATTGTGGTCGAGAAGGCGTGGGTGAGCGTTCCTTGACCCGCATACTCTCATCTCGGAGAGGTGACCGCCTGCGTCATTGTCAGTCACTGCTTGTGCTTCATTCTCCATCAAATCTACTTACGATCGAACTCTACGCTGTGGACTAGCAGCTGTCGCATCTTGAGCAGACGCAACGCTTTTGGGTGGTGGCGGGGCTGCATATCGCCCACCATGGGCACGACTCGAGAAACCAGTGTTGGGTCGACCTTCTCTCATCGCGCGTGGTCCAGTTGGCGCACCTGCAACACCGACACCAATCGGTTCCGTTGGCTGACCTGTCAGAACTGTCGCCGCACCATAAGCCCCGTTATTGAAGCCGCCACGTGGACCATAGTTGCCATTGTATCCCATAATGTTCATACTGGGGTCGAAGGCTGCATTCATGTGCTGATCCGGGAACTGATTCATCATTCCTTGAGGGTATGGCACACCAGGGCCCATCATAGACTGGTCGTACTCTCGCATGTCTGCATCGCCAGAGTCTACAGTTTGTATAGGCTTCAGACCGCCGTCTTGAGTCTCGCATTGTGGACCACCCCCTGCCTGGTTAGTGTCGTCGCCAGCAGCTTCGCTAGCATTGCCAGCACCAACCCCATCTGCTGAAGTCTGTGGTTCGAGCGATACTGGAATAGCGTCGACGATGTCCTTACCTTCTTCAGTTGGATCTGCGGACGCCTTCGACTGCTCGCCCTCGGCCTTCACCTCAGGAGCAGGGTTGGCATTTCCGTCAGGCGACTGGTCGTCACGCTGTGTAGAACGAATCGGGTCAGTTTTTGGTTTCCAAGTTTGGCCGATTCCCGTGTATGGGTTCGGTAGCTTTCGTTGGTGGGTTGAACGTACGTTTTGCAAAGGACCGCCACGGCTGCCCGGACGACCAGGCGCATTCTGGCAACCAGGACCAAAGCCACCTTGGCTGCCATTCTTGTTGTTTCGCTGAGGATGTGCTCCTCCTTGATTGGCATGGAAACGATTGTGGTTCTGGTTTGGGAAATTATTCTTGGGAAACTGGTTCATCATCTCGGGATATGCTCCAGATTGATTAAAGCCACCCAGCTGATTGGGCCCGCTGAAGTTTCCATAGCCACTGCCCATACCATTCCATCCATTGCCATAGCCGCCACCGTACTGCATCATATTCATGGCAGACATGTCGTTCATGCCCAAGCCCATGTTCCCTCCAAAGTTGCCGTACATTCCGTTCATGTTGTTGAAATCTAGCAAGGCATTAGTCGCCTGCAAGGAAGGCAAGATTATTCCAAAGACATACCCATAGGATTCATGCCGTTCCAGCCGCCGTTGGCCATGATATTAGGCATCCCGTTCCAAGCCATGCCATTGCTGAAGCCGCCCTGATTGGGGAAGCCGAAGCCCATCTGGCTTTGCACGCCGCTCATCGGCGGGTTGTTGCCCATCATGCCATTAGTTCCGTTGGAGGTTTTTTGCTCGTCGGTCGAGCTGTCGGCCGCTGAAGGTCCCGTGTTGTTGGTCACGCTCTGGGAGGCGGTGCTACCGCGCCGCTCAGTCTCAATTTCAGGAGAAGCATTTTCCTGATTTGGTCAGCAAGAGCGCGAGTGGAGTGGAAAGCATCTCCGCTCATTGGCACGTGTGGCAACCATGTTTTGCAATGCTTAGAGGCCCGACAATGTCTCTTCTGCTTGGTTTCTTCTTCTTCTTCTGATTGTACAGTACCCGCATGCTCGCGAGAGAGCGAAATGAAAGACTTTCACAACCTACCTCCTTTGGTTGAGCCGCGGCCGAGCCGGCGCGCTGTCCAGCCTCTTCTGGGGCCTCGACAGAACCAGCAGCTTGTTCAGCAGCACCGCCTTCTGCCTTGTGCGCATCCTCAACACTGTCTACGGGCTGCTCTGTACCATCACCGACCGGCAGGACCTCAGGCGCGGCCGGTGTCACCTCGACGGGCGGGGTAGCTGCCTGTGCCGCGGCCTTGGCCTCTTCCTTCTTCTTCTGTTTTTGTAGCCACACTCGCATCGTGTTACGCAGAGACTTGTTCGGTGTGCAAGAGTCGGCCTCGAGCGGTGAGTGGTCGCACGAGGGACACGCTGTCGGGAACTGGAGGTTTCCTTGACCTGGGCCGCGTTAGCGCCTGCGAGAATCTCCGGCAGCAGCATATGGTGTACACACATGGTGAGCATATGGATTTCGCACAGCAGATCAGCTTGTATGAGTCGAACGCAAGCTCGTTACACAGGGCGCAGAAGAAGTTCTTTGGGAAGGCCGTCGTGGGGAGCGACCTGCTTACATTAGTATGAGTTCAGAGCCTAGGCATTTCGCACGTACATAGCAAGCTCTTTCAGCTCGTCGGCGAGCGGCGCCGCCTTGGGATCAGTTGCGGGGTCGCCCATGGTAAGGCCCGACAAGTTCGCGACTTGGGGTCAGGCTGCCGTGTAAGAGTTGAAACCGATGTTTGCGCCAGACGTTACTCCATCAATGGGAAATGGCGGATGAGAGACAAGGAAAGATGGAAGTAAGAGAGCCCCTCGATGCAGGCGCAGGCAAGCAGGCAGGCTTGTTTGCAGGCGCGGACAGACGTGTTTGCGGAGTGACAGCTAAGTGAGTCGCGGAAGTTTTCTGGAAGTCGCGACCGACCGACGGGTCCGTGCGCAGCTCCGCTAATTTCCGTCACGTGGGAACCGCTCCGTGCCTCGTTTGAGCAAGTCAGTGTCTGGGTGTCGCTCCGCCTGATGTGACTCCGGCTTCACGTCTTCCAGAGGTTCGCAGGTTGCCCGGCCGAAGCTCAGGGAAAGCATGATCAATGCGGAACCGTTAGATGTGGCGCTAGGCGATTGTGGCTTAGCCGGACCCTTGTCAGCGTCATCGCTATTCCAGTCCTGAACGGTGTCGCTAGGCGTGCTCGTGGCTGAGATACTTTGTCCATCCTCTATTCCGTAAAGATGATACTGAGTCAAATCTCTTATCTGGACTGCATAGCTTTCCTCGTCTTTCTCGCTCCCCAATTGTTAGTCCAGATTGGGCTCCTGCCACTCTTGACATGGCTGACACCAGCTTTGCCATCTCTCGGTAAGCTACATCATGTCATGTACGTGGGCATACTAATACTCACAGCCCCCAAAGCCGTTGCCATACCGTACCAGTTCGTTCGTGAACGCTTCTTCGTACCACATCAACATCGTGCCCCTTTCGTGCAGAAGGCAACGCCTTTCCAGGACTTGGTCATCCGTTTCGTTCGCTATGCATTCGCCAACATGCCCGCCTTCCTGGGGCGTGTCTTTTTTTCCAAAGCGGTGTCACTCCCTTTCTTGAGGTTCCGTATGCTGAGACACGGCATCGTCACCAGTCCTATCAGGTGGACTGAGATTAAAAGACCAAACTTTGGAGGTGTATGGATAGTGCACAACCAGCAAGAGCAGCCAGATGTAATTGTGTACTATTGTCATGGAGGTGGCTTTTCCATGGGGAGTAGTTTCTTCTATATGGAGTTTCTACTCGCTTGGGTTGCAATGCTCAAGAACGCTGGGTACAGCAATCCGGCTCTATTCGCTTTGGAATACACGCTCGTCCCAGACGCTACATACCCTACCCAACTCCACGAGACGGTCGCAGGCTACGAATACGTTCTATCGCTAGCTCAATCTTCAGTTCGTGTCGTCGTGGGTGGAGACTCTGCGGGCGCAACTCTCATCTTGAGCTTTCTGCTATACATGTCTGACCACACGGACTTGCGACATCAGAAACCTGGCCTTGCCATCATGATCAGCCCGTGGGTCACGATTCTATCGCGCGAAAATCGAAACACAGAATCCGACTATCTCAACAGTTCATCGTTGGAGCTATACGGCCGTCAATACATCGGCAGCAAGGTGTCAGCATATGATCCAATCGTTTCACCCGGAACGTGCAGAGATTTGGATAAGTGGAGAGAGGCTAGTCCTGAACAAGGATGGTATTTCCTATATGGTAGTGAAGAAGTGCTTGGGCCGGAGACAAGGCGCCTGATCAGCTTATTGGAAAAGACCGGAAAAGAGGTAGACAGCTGGGAAGAGCCGGGAGGTATTCATGCATGGCCTGTTGCAAGCTTATACCTTGGGGAGACGAGAGAGGCCAGACTGAGTGGTCTGAAGAGTATTGTAGAAGCGATCAAGAACAGGATACATTCATGAGACTGGAGGTGGTGGAACCCAGCCAAGACATACGATTCTTTGTCTGACGTAACCTTGCAATTAGTAAAGCCATTTCAGTTTCCTGCTATCTGTATTCACTGAGGGGGATAGCCTCGCTTTTGCGAAGGCTGTAGTGGTTCTAAACAAAAGCACACCTTGAGGATAGGTATCATTTGTGTTCAACACGCGTGTCCAATCAGATACCAAAACAGGGCAACTGCTATGCTGCATCCCAAGGTCGTTTCTTTAATCGTAGTCTTACAAGACGTTGTGCACCGGAACACTACCTAGGTAATAAGAAGCCATCAACTGCGAACAAGATTAACTGATCTACAGAGACGCAGCATAAGAGTTCTCATCACTTTCTTAGGCGCCTAGGCCCCACCCTTGCCGTTCGTTGTGCTGGTTGACTTATAGGTTTTTTTCAATGTACTTGTCCGGGGAAAAAGAATGGAACCAATCTGAACGCACATCCTAACGCTGTTACTGCAGCTTCCTTCTAGCATTTAGTCTATTATCAAAGCTATCGCACTGATACCAAAGAATAGGTGCACAAAGTTAAGATTTTACAGTATACCAAGGTACTATAACGATAAATTGCCCGAACCAAGACAGGGCTCTAATCCGCGTTAAACACGGACTAAATCCTTAGTCTGTTAGTTTGATACGCGTTGGAATAGCTTGTTGTGCACTAAAATGCTGGCAGAGGATACGGCTACATTGCAATGCTATAACGACTACTCTTCTCCTAAGTACAAAGCAAGAACACACGTTATATCGTATTGCCGCATAAATTGTAGAATATACATTTAAGCGAGAGGCCGAATAATCTAGTATAGATCTCTGCGTTAGAGTATATAATTTGTGTAACTAATGTAACTGCTCTGTAGGTGTCTAAAAGAACATTTGTAGACAGACAGTTTATTCTCTTTCTAGAGTACAGGTCTATACACTTTTATACTAAACCTTATGTATGCGACACGCTGTGCAGAACGACATAAAGCTGTCTCTGTAACATTTAAGTAGAGAATACAGCAAGTGCTTATGTTAGAGGAAAATTAAGAAAGAAGGCGATTGTACGGTTGCGAAAAAATGCATGTTAAGAAAAAGATAAATAGCTTTTCGAGCCTTAATTAGAAAGAGGGATATAGCCTGTACCAAAAAGAAAAGCCCCCGGGCAAAAAGAACCTAGGGCCGAACCGGAGTCGAACCGGTGGCTTCGGGAAGGCGGTTTTTGGGGTTAACTGCAGTCCTACACTCTACCACTGAGTTACCGGCCCGTCAAAGAACATGTAGATATGTTAACAAATAGATGAAATATAACCTACAGTTCAAAACGTCTGGACATTGGATTATCTACGGCCCCACACCTTACCCACCCACGTGGTGTCCCCATCGATGCATCTGCTAGGGCGCCACCTGCCTTGCACTTTGGCTCCGGAAGAGCAGTACCAAGCATTCGCCGTGCCAACTCTGCCGCAAAGGATGCATAGCGACAGCTCATTCACGAACGTGTTGCATCTACAGCGAAATGCTTTGTCCTTGTAATATGGGTATTCAGACAAGTAATATACACACCTGCACACATGCCATAGTATAAGCCCCACTCACCGTATTCTTACAAAAGTATATATACATCACTCCCTGCACCTGGTGTGACTCGCACGTCCTTGCCACGTTCTATAGCATGCAAGTCACACGAGCCACTCGCATCTCCAACCTTCAGTCCGCATTCGTCTACTCCCATCTCGTCTCTTTCTTCAACGGCTTTTCCCAATCCTTGATGTGGTCTGAGATGACCTTCGCAGCCTGTTCCGCCGTGAAGTTACGCCCGATGGCTTCGACAAAATCGCCTTCTGGGTCTGGTAGATCTGTTAGCCTATGTACGTGCAACCTGATCACAGCAAGACAACATACCCATCAAATAGAAGTAGATACTGTGATCAACCAGGTAGTCTTGGCCAGGCTTGACTTCCTTGGGGGTGCTGAAGTACACGCGATACGCTTTACATGTATCCTTGATCTCCTCGTGGGTGCCCGTCAAGCCGATGAAGTCAGGATGGAACTCTGCCAGGTATTCCTTGAGCACCTTGGGGTTGTCGCGTGCAGGATCGCATGTGATCATGACGGGGAGGATGACGTTTCCGCATTCGGCGACGACTTTGTCGTACATGAGAGCCATTTTGTCGAGCTCGTCGGGGCAGATGTCGGGACAGTGAGTGAAACCAAAGTAGACCTACGACACTGTTGTTAGTGTAAATGCTCACACTAGGACGAGAGCGATGTCGTACGAGAGAGTATTTGCCTAGCATATCCTCGTTGCTGAATGGCTGGCCGTTGTGGTCTTGGAGCTGGAATGGACCGCCTACTTTAGGCTTTCCGATACCCTTTGTTTGCTCGGCGATTCGCTTTCTTGCCATGCGCTCTTTCTCGTATGTGAAGTAGGCCCATAATCCTCCACCTGCTGCGACGAAGAGGATGGCTGCTGTGAGATTGAATGGCTACGAAGCGTTAGCCTTTGATCGGGCGTCTAAGTACTCCCACCTGGTACATAGCCCCTTGGATATCGAAACGTACCCCGCCCTTGTTCCTGGCCCGGATCTGATCTATTGTCTTGAGCTTGCTCCGTGGTGTCGATTGCGAAAAACCCCTTGTGTGTCCTTGGCAGCTACTTGCAGCGTTCCTTAGTCCAATGCGCGTTGTCTGTAATTCCCTCCGACACGTTGCGTTGCCCGCTGATGGTTTCCGCGACGATGCGACCGGACTCGATGTGCTAAAGGCGAATGTTCGATGCGTAACGCGCGCCGCTCGTGGACCTGAAATACTCCTCACAGCTGTGGCCATGCATTTCATTGGTGCAGCCATTGGGGTGTTGATGTTGGAGACTGTATGACGCCGTGGTGTTGCGAAATGGTGCTGCGGCAGACTTTCGATGATTTGGGATGTGAACTGGCGCGCTCGGGCCAACCTCGAATGACATGTTGCTCCTCCGTACATCCAAGGTACACCACGTCACCACGAAAGTACAGATGGAGATCCATAAGCGGAGGTCCTAACGATTACTTGAGCCAGGGGTCACGTCAACAAATAAGAAAGTGCCTTTGGAAGGAGTGTAGCAGAGAACTGGTGGGATGTTTATTTGATACCGATAGCTTTGAGAAGCTCCTCTTTCTGCGTTGCCCCAATGGCTCCTTCTGTTTCGACGCCCTTGACGACATGGCTCATGGTCTCCATCTCTCTGACGCCGGCACCATGTGCAAAGTGCCAGAGCTCTGCTTCTTCATACCGTACCTGGAACGCTTGCCAGTTCTGTGCTTTTAGTGTGTTGACATGCTCTGTGACAGCTACGGAGGGGCCGGAGTAGACAAGCAAGCCAGGATATCCAGGCTTGGTGAGCCCAGACACGGGTGGCACTGAAGACGGAGGTGAGAGTGCAAGTTTGCGTTTGTTGGTATTGAGAAGATGGTGCAGCCATACAATGACTGTCTTGGAGGTGTCTAGACTCTGGTTGGCCCCTGCGGTCGAGCCGCTGTGTGATTCAGCAGGAGCAGAATCGAGAATGTGCCGAAAGGCAGCGAGGATGGCATCGAGGGCCTCTTCGCCTTGGGCCAGCCCAAGCCCTGTGACGGCATCTCTAATGCGCGTCCGCAGGTCGTGCTTGGCTGCGTCAGTCGCAGAGATGATGTCGGGCGACCCTGATGCCGGATACGACTCGGGCAAGCGAAGAAGGAGCGAGGCACGATCATCTTGGGAGAAGCTCAATTCCCGTGACTTGGGATGATAGTGCGTCTGGAGGGGATACATGGCATCTAGCAGCAGCAGCTCGGTTTCGAGGCGGGCGGCAGCGTCGTCTGCCATGGTGGATGCAGGCGGGTTGCCTGTGTTTGCAGGATCTACATGAGGGCCGGCGTGTGGGAGGCTGGACGGGCGCTGGTGTACAGTGAAACCAAAACCAAAGAGCTTTCCCGATGCGGCTAGGAGCAGACGCGGAACGTCCGCGCTCCAACCACCTGGGCACCCAGAGACACAGGCAAACCATCCATCTGCCCTCCGCACCGCCAGCCCAGAGCCTCACCCGCATGCCCTGCCCTCCTCCCGCCAACATCACGACCCGTCACGTGCAGCCAGCACCCACGGACGCCCTACGCCTGCGCCTGTGTGCGGAATGAGCAGCGGCCCCAGCGACGATGAAGGCTGCTCCGCTCCTGGTGTCCTGGCACAACGAGAACGCGCCCATCTACTCGGCGCACTTTGAGCCCCACGGCAAGGGACGCCTGGCGACAGCGGGCGGCGACAACAACGTGCGGGTGCGGCAGCCCCTCCCCGCGAGCAGCATGGACTTGCGCTGACCTGTACAACAGCTCTGGAGCGTCGAGGCGCACGGCGAGGAGCGCACCGTCTCCTACCTGTCGACTCTGGCCAAGCACACGCAGGCCGTCAACGTGGTGCGATGGTGTCCACGGGGTACGCCTCCGGCCCACGTGCAAGAGAGAGCAGCAACTGACGTGCCCTAGGCGAGATGCTCGCGAGCGCCGGCGACGACGGCAACGTGCTGCTCTGGGTCCCCGCCGAGAAGCAGGCGGCGCACAACTTGGACGAGGGCCTTGAAGACAAGGAGACGTGGCGAGTCAAGGCCATGTGCAGGTCCATAGGCTCCGAGATCTACGACCTGGCCTGGTCCCCTGACGGCGTCTTCTTCATCACAGGCAGCATGGACAACATTGCCCGCATCTACAACGCTCACACTGGTACGCCCCGTGCCCAGCCACCACGTCCCCGATAGCTGCTCAATCGTGTCTAGGAAGCATCGTGCGGCAGATTGCCGAGCACAACCACTACGTCCAGGGCGTTGCCTGGGACCCCATGAACGAGTACATTGCAACCCAGTCGTCGGACCGCTCCGTCCACATCTACACCCTGAAGAACAAGGACGGCCACTTCTCGCTGGCCCAGCACAGCAAGGTCACCAAGATGGACCTGCCCGCCCGCCGCGTCTCTTCCAACAGCCCGGCGCCCCCAGACTTCGGCAGCCGCGCCTTTGCCGCCGATGCTGCCATGGCAATCGGCTCGCCCGTGCCGTCGATGCCCGGCACGCCCCAGTCGCTGGCCCTGCCCACGATGCATCCGCCGCCGACCTCGCACAGCCGTCGTTCGTCCTTCGGCTCCTCTCCATCCATGCGCCGCTCCGCCTCGCCCGCTCCGTCCATGCCCCTGCCCGCCGTCATGCCAAACTCCCCCAGCATTGGCACCATGGGCACCATGGGCCTCCGCAACGCGCCCCTCTACTTCAACGAGACCCTGACCTCCTTCTTCCGACGTCTTACATTTGCCCCGGACGGCAGCTTGTTGTTCACGCCGGCAGGCCAATACAAGGCCGTGCATGCGTCCGTTGCTGAAGCCAAGCAGACCGACGACATCACGAATACAGTCTACATATATACCCGGGCCGGCCTTAACAAGCCACCCGTCGCCTATCTGCCCGGCCACAAGAAGCCCTCGGTCGCCGTCCGTTGCTCGCCCGTCTACTATACCCTGCGCCAGTCTGTCCCACCCACCAGGCACATCACCATCGATACTTCAAATATGGACGATGAGATTCCTTCTCTGCCTGATCCAGTCATGCCCTCCAAGCCCCCTACCTCGCATTCATCCATGGACCCCCCGCCCATCACGAGTGCGCCTTCTCCCTCGCCAAGCCTATCAGCGCCGTCGCCCAAGCCCGCCGATGGCGAAGCATCCGCTCAATCCGGCCTGCCCCCCGGGCCTCCGTCTGCCTTTACACTGCCTTATCGCATGATGTATGCTGTCGCAACACAAGACGCTATCCACATCTACGATACGCAGCAACAGAAGCCCCTATGCATCGTCAGCAACTTGCACTTTGCTACCTTTACAGACATCACCTGGTACGTGCCGAGGCCCGCTTTGACTCCCAGTTCACTTACCATTCAATAGGTCAAATGACGGCTCCATGCTGCTGATGACCTCGTCGGATGGCTTTTGCTCATCCATCACATTTGCTCCTGGCGAACTTGGCGACAAGTACACGGGTCCTTTAGCTGTTCATAGCCGACCACAGCAGACACCTGCTGCCATCAACACCACGGGGGGGCACACATCAAACAACTCTACCCCGACTCCTACACCAACAAACGGAACCATGCCAGGCACCACAACGGCTACTGCACCACCAATGCAGAGGCAACCCTCTGCAGGCTTCCCGGCCTCTCCGAGCTCTTTTGTTCCCGCAAGGCCTGGAAGTCCCACAAGAAGCAATTCGGTATCCAGTATTGCTACTGCTTCATCCTTTGCGCCCGGTGCAGGTGACCAAAGCAACATGAACGCCCCAACGCCGGCTATGTCATCAGTGCCTAGTATTGCTGCTGCCAATTCTGGACCTGTACCGATGTGGACACCGCCTCTGACCCCAGCTCACGGCCAGGGCACGACGCACAGTGCAAGTAGCTCGGTCAGCGGGGTACCAAGCACTGCCCATGTTGGGCGAAGAGAAAGCGAAATGAGCGAGTCAGACCGCGACGATGCATCTTCGACTTCCAAGAAACGAGATTTGTATGCTATGCCGGAAGTTGATGCAGATGCGCGAGAGAGTAAGCGACGAAGGATTACACCAACACCGGTCACGATGGTCGCGGAAGGCGACAGTGCTATTGCCAGCACCGAAGAGAGTACTCCGACACAAACACCCGGGCAGTAGGAACTATTACATGGGATCCTCTTGTTTCCGATGCATTTCATCATTGTGTACATCTTGTCTTCAGCAAGGCGTTTAGGATACCAGGGCTATATTTACGGCGATATCATGTACAGATTCCTTTCTTTCCTTGCTAATGCTGTAACAGTGGGGCGCCATCACGATTATACCACAATTCTCACTGCACGAAGGTGCACGCAGTCGTACTCCACAATACAGATTATAGTCAAGTCAAATACATATACATTGCAGATGGAAAGACCTGAACTCATCTCCCTAGGTGGCCCAGTTGGTATTGCAGATTTACGCCACTGAGGCTATCTCCGTGCTCAGAGACGTTGCGCGCAACTCGAGAATGGTCGACTGCCGATTCGACGGAACGTTCTTGTGCTCGTTCGCACCTTCCCACGTTGGTATCGCCCGTATCACAACCCAAGGATTCCCAAGAGCGATCGCCTCAGCTTATACCCCTGTCACGAACAGCCGATTATGATGCCGGCCAATCAAAGCGTAGCTACGAGCTGACAAGCGCATTCCTTGGGTTGTTGCCATTGGTGCAGCCGTTCGGACCAGGCGAACAACGTGGTGAGTTCGGACGTTGCATTGGGCACAGCATCGGAATAGTCTTGTCCTTCGCTGCAAGTGCCAGCAAGATACATGGATCTACCTTACACTCGGTGCCCCTCTATTTGGCCTTTCTCTTTCTTCCCAGTCGTCGCGTGCACCTCTCACATTTGCAAAGAGTTGGAAACTTTGTACAGTGCATTCGGAGATTGAGGTGTGGTATAGTAAGATGGACGATCAGAGCAAAGTTCACGACGGGAAAGTGCAAGAGCACGAGCACGATGTTGAACACCAGCACGCCTGCGGTGAAACGAGTAGCTTGGGCAAAGACGACATCTTACAACTCACTGATCCTGTGCTGAATGCCAAAATGCATCTGGTTAACAATGCGATCGATGAGGTAAGCTTGTTGAGAGAAGACTCTTGTGGGTGTGTACTGATTACAGTCCCCAGATCGGTTTCACGACGTATCAATGGAAGGTACTTGATGTGTCTCTGACATCTTTGAGCATTTCTAATAAGGCTTAGCTCTTTGTCCTGAATGGTTTTGGCTACGCCGTTGACTCCCTCATCCTACTCATTCAGTCCGTCATCGCCGCGCAAGCCGCCCTTGAGTTCAAGCCTTCCTACCGAAACGGCCTGACCATCGCTGCTTACGTCGGAATGCTCACGGGAGCCTTATTCTGGGGCTTATCAGCCGATATCATCGGCCGAAAGACAGCGTTTAACGTTAGTTTGCTGATTTGCTCGATCTTTGCAATTGTGGCTGGAGCAAGCCCAAATTGGGAAGTCTTGGGCTTGTTCGTATGTTTGAGTGCTTTTGGCGCCGGAGGAAATTTGGTGTTGGATACGGCAGTGTTCTTGGAGTATCTGCCTAGCTATAGGCAGTGGATGCTTACGCTCATGGCAGCTTGGTGGGGTATATATATCCCCAATCTTCCGCTGTTTTCTTCTCCGAGGGATGGCATCTATAAGCCTAAGTACTAACACTCTGACTAGGCATTGGTCAGCTCGTAGCTGGCTTTTTTGCCTGGGCCTTCCTTCCAAATTTTAGCTGCGCAGACCCATCCCTCGATCCCACGGCAGGCCCCTGTACAAAGTCTAACAACCAAGGTTGGCGCTACGTATGGTACGCTTCTGGATCCTTGGTTTTTGTAATGTCTATTCTCCGCATCACCATCATCCGTCTCAAGGAGACTCCCAAATTCCTCGTCAGCGAAGGTAAAGACGCCGAGTGCGTCGAAACCCTCCACTTCATTGCCACCAAATACAATCGACCTTGTAGTCTCACCGTCACCCAGATGCAAGACTGTGGCACCGTAGATCGTATCGCTGCACGTGGAAATCAGAGTAAATGGGGCTTGGGAGAGATCAATATGCACCTCCGCGGCCTGTATTCCACGAAGCGAATAGGTATTAGCACATCGTTGATCTGGCTCTCGTGGACGTTGATAGGCCTCGCCTACCCCCGTAAGTGTCTCTGTGCGAACTGCATGTGAGACATACGCTGACTTTGTACACCTTTGTTTAGTCTACAATGTCTTCCTCCCCGCCTACCTCTCCTCTCGCGGCGCCGCCTTCGGTGAACCATCATCCTACATCACTTGGCGCAACTACACCCTTGTGAACTTTAGCGGCATTTGGGGACCTGTGCTAGCGGGCTACATGTGTCATACGCGCCTTGGTCGTAAGTATACCATGGTTATTGGAGCATTGGTCACCATGGCTTTCTTCTTCGCGTACACGCAGGTCAGGACTGCTGTTCAGAATGTGGCGTTCACATGCATCATCAACTTCTGTTTAAATATCTACTATGGCACGCTGTACGCTTATACGCCGGAGGTGCTGCCTAGTGCGCACAGAGGTACCGGCAACGGGATCGCGATTGCCTGGAACAGGGTTATGGGAATCTTGAGTGCCGTTATTGCGACGGTCGCTGATGTAAGTCTGCTCTTCACTGAACCTGTCATGTTTGAGATGACTACGAATGGCTGGGTTCGGGCTGACTGGCGGCAAAGACGGGGACCGCTGTCCCGATATATATTTGCGCCGCGTTGTACATCCTCATGGCAGGCATTGCGGCGATTTTTCCATTTGAGCCCTATGGCCGGAGAAGTTCATGAGGTCTGCAGTCGAGGTTCCATCAACTCTGCTCTATACATGGACTCTTGATGCAAGAATACAGGTGGACTTGTTTCAGTAAGCCCTCTCGATATCCGCCTGGTCCTCAGTTTATTCATGCAGGTGCAGTAAGTAGTCCAAATCGGACGCCACCTTTTTTCCGAACGACTCATGCTGCGCATTCCAGGCTGCAAACATCTTCATCTCATTGTAGCACGACATTGGTTCATACTCGAGGTTTCATCAAAAGCCGACGTCTATTGTGATATGAATGCACTATCTATGTCAAAAAGCTCGTTGTGCAGCAGGCTAAGTGACTATCTCAGCATCGCCCTTTGTGCGGGTTGAGAGAAGAGCAATAGTCTCTGCAATAGACGGGAAATCAAGCAGTTCCTCAATACTTGTAGCAAATCCCCGCTTGGAGTATTCACAAGTAAGAGCGGCAGCAGCAATGCTGTTGCCCCATATTTCGTAGAATGGAGTTTGGTATGTGAAACCAGGAGACGACCTGAAGTCTGATCCCAACACCGACTCCCAAGCTGAACAAACTACTTCCTCCAAGATCTTTGTATCTTCTGTCCCAGGCCTTGATGCCTGCTTCCTAGCTTGTCGGGGGCTGACCAGGTTGTGCTGGAATGCAGCCAGATCGAATTGAGCAAGGATGTCTGACAGTTTCTGTTCCAACAAATGAGGCAGATGTTCGTAAGTTTGAACGAAGCCGCTCAACACCGCTTTAATCCGATTTTCCGAGAAAGCCTGTTGCGAGTATCTCAGTTCGACTTCTAGCTTGTTGTCGCGAGCAGATGTTTGTAGCCATAGGTCGGCTTTGTCATGCTCCGGTTCGTACACATCGAATGCGCACCCGCCAAGTTCTGGAAATGGCTGCTCGATCGACCCGAAGCTGAGATGATTCACGACTGTCGAGAATCGTGTCCATCGAGGCCAATTGGTGCACTTCTCTATGATGTGATGGTGTCCAATATGGCCATACTGCAGCGACTTCAGATAGTTGCTTTGAGTCGCATCGAGAAGCGAAGAAGCTTTTGCGGTTGAAACGACATCCGTGCGCAAAGGTATGACGTTCATGCATGGGCCGAGGATATCCGATACGTTGGGCATCATCATGTGTCTTCCAGAAATGATGCACCCGAATACGACAGAGTCCTGACCCGTAAGCTTCGACAGCACGATCGACCATGAGGCAAGAACAGCGGTTGCGCTCGTGTAACCCGAAGTCTTCAGATCTACCAAGGGAACGGAAATCTTGACGGCGCCGTTGATAGGGCAGTCCACGCTAGGGCGAGTGTGAGCACGAACTTCGCTCATCGAGCTATTGGCCAGAGCTGTCTTCCAGAACGTCTCAGAATTCCTGCTTGCTAAGACTGCTTCTGCGCAGAAGTCGGTGAAAGGAATGACTTCCAATGGTCTGTCAAAATACAAAGCCTCGAGCGAGCGCCACAATGTGTCGAGACTGAGCGCGTCGTACTGGGCGTGGGAGATTCGAAGGACCAGTTGCGCTGTGCTAGTCGTGGCATCATGTACAAGGGTAAAAGCTACCAAAGTATCGCCGAGTTGACGGTGTCGTTTCATATCCTGCTGAATGATCTCCTTAACAAGCCCGTCCATATTCTGACTGTCACTAGACTGCTCCACAGTGAACCGGAAGGGGAAAGCCTTGGCCTTGAGAACGACCTGGAAAGTTTGTCTTGCTTTCACTACGAACACCGTCCGTAGGAGGGCGTGTTGATTTATGAGCTGTTGACAAGCGCGTTGCAACCTTCCAACATCCAGTGTTTTGGGGAACTTGAAGATCATGTAGTCATGCCAGCCATGTGACTTGAGCAGACCCTGCCCGACACACCAGGCCTGCCAGTCCGTCGCCAGAGCAACAGCGTCGACATCATCTTGTGAGATCTCCGGTGCGACTGTCTCTATCGTGTGCGCTGTATATTCACCGCCTAGCGTAGTCGACTGAGCGCATACCTCGAACCTTGCCGATGTACTCATAGCCTGGAGAGTTCGATTCACCAGGATGTCTTCGATTGACAGAATGACCTGCTCTTTCCGTGCTTGTGCGATGAGCTTGATACAGTGCAAGGAATCTCCGCCAAGATGGAAGAAATCGTCCTGCAAACCGATGTACTCTACAGGAAGGCCGAGCACTGAGGCCCATAGACGTTGCATCGTTCGCTCCTGCAATGTCACTGGCGCAGACTTGCTTAGAGCGCCAACATGCTTCACCAGATCAACCAACGACATCCTGGCAGCCTGACTCCGCAGTAGCTTTCGATCGAGTTTGCCAGACGGGTTTAACGGCC